TCACGGCTAATGGCTTCTTTTTTTAAATTTTACACATTATTATTAAAAAAAGTTCTTATAAATAAAAAATTTTTATTAAAAAAAAGCGTATAGATCATTATAATTAATTGATGAATATTATTTTGTTAAAATATTGCTGATGAACAAAGATCATTAATTAAAAAATAACCTGATTTTGTTACTTGTCTTTTATTTTTTTGTCTATGGCTTTGATTTTTTTTTGTATAAGCCTTCTATTTTGTTCGTTTAGTGTTGGTGGTTTTATATGACGATCTTTCAAACGAGTAAAATAAAAAAAATAAAAGAAGAATTTTTTTTTTCGTTACTAAGGTTAATGTTTATTCATTGATACGGAAGTAAGATTTAAATTTACGATTGTTTTGAATGATTATCTCTTGTATTTTTTTCCATTTGTTTGTCTCTATTAAAAATGATAAATTTCACGACACATGGCTGTTTTATTTTTTAATTTTACACATTATTAGTATCACAGAAAAATTGCTTACTCAAAAAAGTGTGTAGGTCATTGTAATTAAATGATGAATTTTATTTTGCTAAAATATCATTTCTTATGAACAAAAATCACTAATTAAAAAACAAAGCGTATTTTTTATATGTCTTTTATCTTTTTTAATATATGTCTTTTATTTTGTTCATTCAGACTGGGGGGGGGGGTAATACGACAATCTTTCAAACGAGTAAAAAAAGTTCTTCTTTTCATCATATAGGTTANGGGGGGGTAAAACGACAATCTTTCAAACGAGTAAAAAAAAGTTCTTTTTTTCATCATTAAGGTTAATGCGTATTCATTGATACTGAAGTGAGATTTAAGTTAACGATTGTTATAAATAATCTCTCGAATTTTTTTCACTTATTTGTTTTGATAATTGTTTTCCGTTAAAAGAAATAAATTTCATAAATTTTTTCTTTTTTTTTAATTTTCTACATAATTAACACAGCAGAAAAATTGCTTCCTAAAAATAAAAATAAAAAGCGTGAATACTATCGTATTTAGTTGCTGAATCGTATTTTGTTAAAATCTCATTTTTCATGGACAAAAATTATTAATCAAAACAAAACAGCGTGAAAGTTAATTCCTTGTCCAGTTGAATTTCTTTTTTACGGTTTTGAACCCATGCTAGTTGTAAATGGTTAAAAAACGGTATAGTTTTTATTCACGTTTTTTTTTTAACCATACTAAATGTAAACGGTTTCAAGACATAAAGGTAAAAAATGTTCTTTACTGCAAACTTTCCGGTTAATTGCATGGGCAGACTGCTGCTGGTTATTTACCATAATTTTAGAATGAAATTCCTTGCCGATAATTGATATTTTTGGATAACCTGGTAGGTAGGGCGTTGGATTCGCGTTCGTAAGAACGGGAGTTCGAATCCAGCCAGCCGAAGAATCTCCGTGTTTTAAATGGTGAGTGGTACCCGTTAAATCTTTCGGGGTCCAAAGTCCTCCAAGTTCCCATAACAAATCAATACCTCTGGGGGTACTAATCAAGGAGTTCCCTTGTCTTCTGAATTAGGTTCAAAATTACAAGGCTACGGAGTCGAACATTGGTAGTCGTAAACTCAAGATTTGGGTCGGTTGTACAACGACTGTTATAAAATAAAATAAATTAATAAATTAATTAATTAATATTAAGAGTTCTATATTTAATTATATTTTTTTATCAATGATCTCAAACAAGGGACCTCAATATTAGAAATTTTCATTTAAAATAATAACAAAAACATGATGAATGATAAAACTTAAAAATAAATAAAAAATGTGCGATAATTAATGTCATTGTATTTGACGAAAGAATAATATTTTATTTTTAAATCAAGCTTTTAATTATTTTTTTAGGATGGAATAAATTTATTCAAGAAAAATCCAATTTCAACTCTAAACAATTTAAACGTCCAATTTAAAATCAAATTTAAGACTTCTGGATAATTTAGATGGACTCATTAATATTATAATCGCATTTATGGTTAAAACTTGACCCACCGAAGATTGAGAGAAAGCGGATGCGAATTCAGTTTTCAGGTCATGCTTCTTAAGCATTCATTAATAAATAAATCCAGATTCGAATCTGAATAAACTCTGTGAGAACAATAAATTTCAAAAACTCTGATGAAATAGATTTCAAATTTTTTTCTGCGTAATTGAGCACCACGCTGTATTTTCATGCATTTTGCTACTCAATTTCCTAATTGAAATATGGGTTATTTAGAAGACAAAAGTTAATAACTTCTCACTCCTTATATTCATACTTTATATTTATTAATATAATTTATGCTAATTGATATAAAAATAATATATAATAATTATAACAAAAATGTTATAATTACAATACGTGTAATAATTAATAATGCATACTCTTTTTATTCATAATTTACACAATGAATATGATTAAATAATTCTTACAATTTATCAACTCATTATTATTAAAACGGTCACTGCCAGCAGAGTACAGGTTGTAATGCTGGTGGTAATTGGTAAGGATAAAATCAAAGTTAAATTTTCTTATTTTATAGCAACCGTTTTAGTTTCTAAAAAATTCACAGTAAGTTTATTTCAATAAAAAATGTGTTATTTTCTGGAAAAATTACGGCCTTAAAATTACGGTATAATTAATTGGTGTTCAAACTAAATAATTTATTTAAATGGTTACTATAAATACAGGTATCAACAAAGGGAATTATTATTTAACTCTTAAAAATGCTTTATAATTAATTCGTAAAAATCGAAACAATTTACATTTAAAATAATCTATGGATAACGAATATTTTTTTTATTTTTTTTATCAAACATTGTCTTTTTTTTGTGGTGGGGCGCTTTTTCCTGTGCTTTTTTTGAGCTCTGTTATTTTATCTACAAGATTTGTTCAGGTGAAATTCTGCTTATAGCTCGTTTACAAAAACTTTTACTGTTTCCTATTTTTATAAAAAGCACATATGTACACAAAGTAGATTAAAATAGTTCTGTAGTTCGAATGGAATATAGTCTACTTAAATTTAAAAATAAATTTACTAATGAAAATTTAGAAAGAAAATTCTGAATAATGTTTATAAAAATTTTTTTTAATACTACAATAAAAAAATGTATTATGTGGAGGAAATGCTTTAAGTAGCAAAAATAATTACACTTCTTAAAAACTACAATTTACATTTAAAGTTATTTGTGGATAACCAATACTTTTTCTCTTCAAATTTTAATACGCAGTATCTTTTTATTTATTTATTTTTCCTGAGGAAAACGCCGTTTCCATTTTTTTTTTTAGTCCTGTTGTCTTATCTGCTAGATTGGTTCTGGTGAAATTCTGCTTATAGCTCGTAGCGAAAAATGTTACATTACTAATTTTTATAAAAGGCACAAGTTTGCTCAAAGTAGATTGAAATAGTTTTTGCAGTATGAATTAATTAAATAATGTTAACTTGAATTTAAAAATTGATTTATGCATGAAAATGTAGAAAGAAAATTTTGAATAATTTTTTTTATTAAAAGGTGTTTTTTTTAATAAAATCAAAATAAATTTTATTTGGAGTTTAATATATAATTAAAATTCGCTCTACAAAATGTATCATAATCAAATTTTTATTTAACTTATTCATAACGAAATCACGTAGTTATCTGAAACACTCACTAAAGAGTAGTTTATGATGAATTGTTTAAAACGATTTCAAATCTATAACAAAGATTATGTGTTTGAATAATGAAAAATTTCTAATGTTCTTTTATACGCATTGTTACTTCACAGTTTAAAATGTGTTTTGTGATTAAAAGATTATGCATACCATCTCTGCTCTGAATATATGCATTGTTTTAGATGACAATCGATTAATGACTTATTTACTTGAGCGTTCAACTGAATAAGCGAAAGCATTTGAAAGAAAACGCACAGTAAATGATGTTCTCTTTTTAATGTTTTCATAATCTATTGTTATATCGTGTGTCTTTTGAGTGATTAAAACAATAACAGCTAATCTATCTATGTAATTGAGTGCAAATGTGACAGATAAAATTGATGAGTGTTTTTTAATTACTGGTGAGAAAATGTATTCAATATAATGCCGGGAGCAAAACGATCATTTATCATGTAGTACTGCTCAGCAATGAAATTATTTCTATTTTTAGTTTTTTTCATAGTTCAAATTATTTCTATTCATAATTCTAATCAAAGTTCATAGTTAAAATTTATAATTCTGAATTATTATAATAAATAACTGATTTTTTAAGAACAATAATTCATACACAGAAAAATGAATTAAAATATATTTACTTTGGTAACAATAATGATATTAATTAATGAAAATTATTATTTTTATTATTATAATAATTATAATTATTTTTATAATAAATAATAATTTTAATACTAAATAATAATCATTTTAATAATAAATAAAAATTATTATTATAATTATTTTAATAATTATTATCATCAAAAAACAATTTTGGAATATTTTAGTGAAACAGAACTCGAACAAAGACTTTATAATTAACACTATTGTATTTAAGTTAAGTTGAATAAGTAGTAAATATTGCAAACTTTACCATTTTGGAAGCAAACACAAATATTGCAAATTTTAAGATTAATTTACTACCGTTCAAAATTCGTTTAAGATTCAAAAAAGAAAATAAATCTAAGTTTTTGTTAAATAGTTATTTCCGAACAATAGTAGTAATTATAGTATTAAAATCTACTCGGTTGATAAACGAGGAAAATATTTCAAAGTTGACATTACATAATATAACATTTGACAAAATTAGATGACTCAAGCACATATCTTTTTTAAAAAAAGCTATATTAATTATAAGTACCAAGCCTATTATCTGAGGTGGTGTAAAATCGCAGAGATAAATTGCGTCAGTATGAAACGAAGGCAACAATTCTTAAACATGCTGATGCAACTTATTACTTAAATATTTTTATCACCCAGTCAGTGAAAAGGACTAAGAACTTACGCTAACGGCCTGTTTTACATTCTGGCGATAAAAACATTTCAAAAGTGACGTATGATAAAACAAAGAAACATCCAATTAAATTTGTGGCATTATTCTGACTAGATTTTACAGCTATTTCTTTTTTTTTTCTTCTTAAATTCCCTATTCAGAGAATAAGCCTGTTAATGTGGATTTTCAGAACAAAAACGAATCAAATTACATTTTTGAAAGGTACTTGTATTTTTAATAAACAAAACATCTTGTGTTTGATAACTTACCATAATAAGGATTTGCATTTTTATATAATGAATACTAATTTTTGTTTAAAAATTATTATTTTAAAGGTTTAGTACAAACTCTGAAAAAAAAAGAAGATATTTTGCAGTGTTTGTTCCTATTCTCTTTTAGTATAAAAGATACACTTCGCAGCGAAGGGAAGTAGCATTTTACAACTATTATTTGTTTGTTTTTTAGATGGAGTGCACAATTACATCTTACAATCCTGGACCACCGACAGCATCCCGATTGAAGTACATGAAAGCAGACACGACAAAAACAGTTCTGCACGTGAATTTCGAACCAGAAAAAGGAGAGGTACAAGAGAGGAAGAAAAAATACCTGACAGCCAAGTACGGGCAACACCAAATGAACCTCATCAGAAAAAGATTGAGGGTGGAGATGTGGATGTTTGATCAACTTCAAGCATTATATGGACACAGAGTAGGTTTTGTTCGATTTCTGATAGTAATGATTTAATTTTTATGAGAATGAGATTTTTGGTGTTCTATCTGCTCAATTAAATTGCCAAATCCATTTGTTGAAATAATTTGTTTCCCTTATGCTAAGTTCAATTCTATTTATTGGAATAATTTGTTTCCCATCCACTAAGTTCAAATCCATTTTTGGAATAATTTATTTGTTGGAATTTTATTTATTTATTTGGTAATACAAGTTTGCTAATGAGTTGGGTCAATATACGGTGCCAGTTATAGTGTAGTTATATGTAGTTTGGTAATGGTATTTAATGTTTATTATATAAGATAAATACTAGATTTTTTTTTCTTTCAAAGCAACTTCGTATTTTTTTTCTTCTTATTTTATTTCATTTTTTTTTTTTTGCTTATTAGTCTTAGAGGTTGCGAATTTTTCTACTTTTCGGAAGTTTTAATAAATATAATACAATTGATAGCATTTTCGTTATAATATTGTGTTGTTCGGAAAGTAATTGAATTTTTATTTTTTTATGAATATTAAAAGCGATTTTCTTATGCTGAATAAATATTTTATTGAATCACATATTGCCCATTCTGGTTTACCCTCTGCCGTCTTTCTGGCAGAAGCATGATTCCACGCGCATTAAGTTTTTGTTCTTTGCTAGCAAAAAACTGATCCAGGTGATTTTTAACCTTCTTACTTGAAATAAAGGTTTTACCGTCTAAATAATTTTGTAGAGACGGGAAAATTATCTTAGGCTTTTCAAATGGTCATGTGCGGTTGAATTCGATAAATTTAATATTTCAGTGATCTCACAAATTATTATTAGCTGATTTGGATTAACTAGGGCCCTCATTGCGTCGTCATAAGTTTAAATTTGTGTGGTACATCTTCAGGCATCATAATCGAAATTTAGTGAGATCGAAATTTTGTAAAATAGTTTTGGCACTGCCAATACATCTTCGTCTTGGACAAAGAATTTTTTTTTGGACAACATTTGTACTTTTTTGATAGTAAAGAAGTAAAATATTCCGAAAATTCTGCTTTTTACTTTCCATATTTAGAAGGGCGCCAACCAAAAACTACCGCGTATAATCCATCGAACTTTTTCACAAGTAACTCTTGCTATATCTTCTGTCAAAATTTATAATAATTATGCGGCTCAAGTGTGAAGCTGGCTGTGAAAAAATACAATTTAATACTCCGTTGCTAAAAAAAGAAATTGCTTTTGAACAAGTCAAGACTATAAACATAGATAAGCTGCTAGATAATTTACAAAACCTAGTAATGATAAAGCCCATCATTACACACGGAAAAAAACATATATAGATCATATTTTTAGCATAATCAATTTCGTGAAAATAACAATCATTCCCTCAAGATTTATATGTACTGATTAAACGATAACAATATGCAATTTAGAAACGCTTTAAAAACTCATTATTTAATTTTAAAAGAAATCAAAATAACTTTCAATAGGAGTAATACGTTATTTTTAGCAATGTTTTGTGAATAAAAAAGACCATTTCCACTGAGTACCTATGGTTAAACCCTTTCCGATAATCTTAAATTACATCGTATTCACGTATACAGGACATGTTCTATGTTTACCCTAATTTCGAAATCTTTTCAGTGGACATTGAAAAAAAGAATTCATTGGGGTCATAAAAACCGACATTTCGCTATGTTCATCGGCGCGTGTAATCGCCTATCTTTGGCGCATATTTACTGCGCCACAAGACCACTCCATCTCTTGCTTTCCTGACTTATATTTGCAAATGGCATAGAGCTTAGAGGCAGAGATAATTCAGTTGCTTTCACTGATGGAAAATCCCAAATGAGTGCCTTTCATTCGTTGATGTGTATCTGAAATAAAGGATTTGTTTCGTCGTGGTTCAGCGAGCATTTCAACCAAGAAGACTCAGTCACGTGAAGACGGTTAATGAGTTATTTGTAGCCTTGATGAATTTTTAGTCTCCCAGATAATTGCTCAAGAAAGACCAAGCTTTACAATGTTGTTGATGTTTCTGAGTGATACGATACGCTTCTTGTTCTTCAGTCAAGCGCATTTGTAATTTAACGATGCCCGCTTAAATGAAATTACTTTTTGTTGTGTTTTTCTTACCATACAATCCAAAATAGACGATTAATTTTAACAAAAAAAAAGTAGATAAATAAAACAGTGAAAATGTGTTTTACTAGAAAAAATGCTGATTCAAAAGTTAAAAAATAATTACAATCATTCATTTACAACTATTGAAGTTTGTTCTGCCACAAAATATCACACTAAATTTAACTCAGTGGGCTGGCTAACTTCTCGATTAAATGTCCCAAAAAGGAGCAAAACAACCTATTTAATAATAATGATAATAATAACAACAATAAAACCATCGGAGAGATGCATATTACATATTTATAAAAATCGAAAGACATATCTTAATTTCGTTTTTTATATTAATTTATGCGGAAATTATTTTATGGTAAATAATTAACTATTTTTCACTAAATATTCCAATTTAAAAAAAATATAGGGGTTTATTTTTTTTGTGTTCTAATCTTACAGTGAAATTTCATTATTAAATTTATTCGAAATATTATCATTATTCATAAAACATTTTTTAACAGTCAAATATTTACCTGTTGAATAATTTATTACATACTTAAAATATCAGTATTATTTTTAAATATTTTAACGTTCTTAGTCATTCATTGGATATTTTAGTCAGTGTCGGCGGAAGACGTTGTTGCTCCTCGGGAGTTACTGAAAAGGGAGCCCTTAACTCAATATTGGAAAAAGAATTTTTTTTTTTTTTTTTTTTTTTTTTTTTTTTTAAAAAAAAAAAACTTTGAATTGTCTTGCTGGTGTAGTCATAACTTTGGTAGAGAAATGCTTCTTTTTATTTTAAATTACAATATTTCTATTAGGGAATTATAAAATCTATATCAATCCTAAAAGTTGATTTGGGAAACATGTGAACAAGAAAAATTACAATTAATACATTCAAGGTTAAAAAAGAAAACCGTTAGTTTAATTGTTGAGAATATCACTTCAAATATTCTAGAATTAATTTTTATTATAAGTAATATTTTTTAATGGGCATAATCTTTTGTGACACATAAACATACTAGCATAAACATCAGAATCTATTTTTTTTTTTCATGCTTTAGTATTCGCAAACAATTTCATAGACTCTTCAAAACCAGTTTTTTCGCAGTTTCATTTTTCGATACTGCTTTAACTTGTATTCAATATGACGTCATTTTGTTAAAAATTATTTTAAAAATGAAAAAGTTTTTGCAGTCAACTGCCGTAAAACAATTTATATATTTTTTTACAAATATTTTTTTGCGTTTAGAAACTCATTCGACTATTCACTAAAATGTCCTTCAATGATTCGTTCGTAAACAAATTCACTGCTTTTTAATCCTGTTGACTCGTATTAACATACCTATTCACTGATCCATTGATTGATATCCTTTCATTCCTCATTCTTACTTTATTCTCTAGCTGTATCTAAAATTGTTCATGATAACAGTTTTCATAAGGAAGCGACAAGAGTATACTCGTTATAAATTCTTGATGAAATATACTATCGTAAAAATAACTGTTAAAATAAATTAAAAGTTACTGTTAAAATAAATTAAAACTGTTAAAATAAATTAAAAGAACAGACAGTCGGCATAGTAATATTAAATAATTATTCCTATCAAATACCTTTTGGGAAAGATGAGATATTTTCTTCTCAGACTAAAATTGGTATATAAAACTATATATAAAAAAACTAAAAAAAACTACAACAATAATAAAATTTTAGATAAATCAGATGAATAAAGAAGTTATCGAGCCAGCTATTAGCAAATATTTTTACAGAAAAAAAAGTCTTCCGTTAATTTCCCAGAAAAATCATTTAATAATTATTTTAAATATATATGAAAGAACAAAATATGTAAAATATTGTAAAAGTGTTTATATGTTTCTTGTTGTTAACTTAAAAGATCTTGGTAATTATCTTGAAAATTAACCTTTTGGTCTTGTTTCTAAATTAATTCCAATTTCACAAAAAATCCACCGAGATTTGAATGAAAAACTTAAATTACATTTTGAGACGAAATGGGAGTTTTCTGCACAAAATATTAAGATTTGTATCAGCAAATTCACATTATATTTAGAGTACGTTTTGACATAATATTTCTGCTCATGGTCATTCTCCAAGGTCACTCATCCTCCAGTTTTTCTCTTACATTCCCTTTTTGAGAACATTGGCTTGTTTGTTGGATGGTTTTCTGAACCATAAATCTCTACAGAAAGGATCCTCCCTAGAAAATACGGAACTCATTGCCAAACAAGTGGTTTTTCTGCTCATCACTCTTCTTTCCATCTTTAGTAAGACTTTTACTTAGAGAACTTTAACCATATAAAAAAGTTAACCTAAGAATTTATAATCAATAAAAACTACCTAAAATACATTTTTTTAAAAAAAATACTTTAAAAAAGGAGGAAATAAATAATTTACAGAAGATTAAATATGGATCCGGTCGGCGCTAGGCGATTGCCCGCTCTTTTTTGCAGGCCCTAACTTTAGTATACCCTTTAGCTGAATACTTGGGGCTATTGCCCCCCTGCACGCCATTGATTTATCGAGAGTTTATCAGGTTACGTTACAGAAAAAGGAAGGTTTGATTTAAACTAAAATTCATGAGACAAGATAGACATGGGATGTTTTATCATATGCGAGTCGTAACTCTTCCACTTTAATACTTCCTTTAAACAGAAAATTACATCAAGTACCACATTCTGCACTATGTATGGGACAGACTATGCCTACGTTTTGTACCGTCTTATATTATTTACCGTGAATGGGTGGTTAAGCTAAGTAATTATGAAAATATATAAAACTAAGAGAACTGCAAAAATAAGTTTGTCTATATTTGTATAGTTTAAATACTTAAAGGATCGGTTTTAAATTAAAATTTCAGCTGTTTTATTACAAACATAGATGTTTGTAAGCGTTAATTTTAATAAAGGTTAATTTTTGAAAATTAATTTTTAATCTTACGTATGAAAACTACATTTTTATGTGTAGTGTGCGTCTTTATTTAACTGTCCATTCTCACGTTCTATACTTTTTTTCATTCTTTGCTACAAAATTCAGGATTTTTGTGAAGAAAAATAGCAATAAAACTAAAATGCTCATTTTTTATTATAAATTGTATTTTAATTACGGGTTTTCAAAAAAAAAAAAAAAAAAAAAAAAAAAAAAAAAAAAAAAAANAAAAAAAAAAAAAAAAAAAAAAAAAAAAAAAAAAAAAAAAAATAAGTAAGTCGATCGGAAGATTATAAAAAATTCAAGAGCTTTAAGATTAATTTTTATTGAAGTTTAGTTTTTGATAATCAAAATGTTAATAATCTGTATTAATTCAAAATTTTTTCAAAAAATTAAAAAATCTTATTATATGTTTTTTAAATGGGCTGATTTTTCTTGAAAAACAATTACTTTGAACTGTGTAGATATAAAACATGCTAAATAATTAAGAGCTTTTTTATTTGCTGAATATAAGAGAGGAAAGGGGAAAAAAAAAAAAAAAATAGCAGAGGTGAAAATAAAACGAGATAGCATTAGTCTATGTGCTGCCCTCTATGAATAAAAATCGTAATCGCTAGTAATGTCAGTTTGATCTTTAATTTTTGTTTTAAAATTTCATTGACAGAAATACGTGTGTTTTATAAAGGATCAAAATAAAAAATAATATATTTTAAAACTACGAAACCTGTTTTCAGTTTTATGAAAGGAAATTATGTTATTTTCTATACTGGACCGATACAGAAATAAGCTAACGTAAGCGTAAATAAACATTTAGTGATCAGTGTTACATAATATTGTAACATTTTGCTGTGCAGTTAAAATGCAATATTATAATATCATACGAACAGTTCATCGGAATTTATTCAATATAGTTACAATCAATAAATTTAAATATTGTTCTACGGTTTCAAATGGACCTAATCCATACGTTCAAAGGGCCAATGAAAGCATAACAGACATGAAAGCTCGTCTACTATATCAGAGTCGCAAACGCGGGATGTTAGAAAACGGCCTGATATTGAGTACCTTTGCTGGAAAATATCTGAAACAATTCAACGAAAAACAGTTGCATTTGTACGATCAACTTATAAACATACCATCGAATGATTGGGACTTATTTTACTGGGCTACAGGTGTGAAAGAAACACCTAAAGAATTCGAAAACGAAGTGATGAATTTATTGAAAAGACATGTGCAGAATGAACTAAAAGAAACTAGATTTATTCAACCTGATCTGAATTAACTAATTTGTTGTTCTATTATGTGTTGAAGAATAGCGTTTGTTAGCCTGTATTCTTCTCATTAGTTATGATAGTTGTAGATTAGCTTATATATTTGCTGTTACACAAAATGTTTCACGATAATAAAGTTTATCCAATGCATTGTATTATTTTTCAGTTTTTCTATCTTATTTATTAGATTAAGATAAATGCAAATTTAATATGCATGTAAAAAAAATTCTGTTCTAATAGCTTGAATATCAGTTAAAATCTTAGAGGGGTACCAAGTGAATTTAGTGATTTCATCGCTTCTTAAAAATTCAACAAAATAATGAATATTTTAAAAGACTTGGTATACTGAGGAAAGATCTAATATATTTGAAGTAATAATAAATTTGTGAAGATATTTTTTTACAATTTGCATTCAAGTTATTATATATATTTTTTTTACATCTTGAAGTCAAGATATAGTTCAATTATATGTATTGAAGAACATTTTTACATCAATGCTATTTTTTTAATTGATATTTAATTGTATAAATTGAAATTTAGCTTCATCAAGGTTCCCACGGATCAAGGATAACCTTGAATTTTCAGAGAATTTTATTTTACCTCTAAAAAGCATGGTCTGATAAAGTTGAATTTTTTTATGAAGACCTAGAAAATTCCCAAATCATCCCTGGATAATAACCAGTCTTAGAATTATTGGTAACTGTAATCAGTTATTGAGATTCAATTTAAATAATTCTAACATCCATTATAATTATTTGTTATAAAAATTTCACTTCTTTTGTGAAACGTTTCCATCTTCATTCAATATCTTTTTGCATACAAAACCAAATATTTGACATTTCAGATAAAAAAATTAAAAAAAAATCAAAGTTTTCCGGTGAAAAATTGCATATTATAGATATATGATCTGCATTTAATTTGAAAATTTCCTGAAATACATGGAAAAGAGAGGGAATTTTTTTTCTGAAATTAAGTGAAAATCCTGTTAATTATTTTTTTTAATAAAAAGTGAATCAAAATCTTATTCTGATTCAAAATCAAAGAGGATTTTTTCTTTCTAGTTTGAAATCAGAGACATAAAAGAAAAAATATATTTAAGCACTGAATTAATAAAATAGGGCTTCGTGAGAGCTTTGAATCATTCAATTGTATTACATTTATGTCACACTAGAGTCGTACAATGGGCTATTGGCAATGGTTTGGGAAACATCCTTGAGGATGATCTAAAAAACTTGGTTTCACAATTTTGATCTTTTTCTGAGGAGATGATTTCTTCTTCTGCAAAAGATCAAAGGGGAGAGTGATTGCTGTTTTATTTTTTATCATACATGAAGCTGATAAAAATGAAATATGTTGTAACTATGAGTTTAGAAAAAGAAAGGGTGACGATGACATTCCTTTCACATATCCTGAATTCAGGAAATTGTGCTATCACTGCAGCTACTTGTAAAAAAGAAATTTTGCTACTCAAAACAGAATAGAATCTTTAAAGTAAGCTCTGTGATGGATGAGTATTTAGATGACTTTTCCAAATAGTTTTATGAAGGACTCCTTTTTTATGTCACCAATGTAAATGCAGGGGGTGTAGCATTTTTAAAAAGTGCTTAAAGATGCTTATTTTTGATTTACAATTTTTAAAAGCCCTTAAAGGTGTTTTTGATCTGGGGTTAGTAAAAAGTGCTTAGTTTTTTATCTTTTAAAAGAGATTATTTCTTTGCCGTGTCGATTGTCGTCCTAAATTTAAAAAAATTCCTGATTTTCACAATTTTCTCTGCAATATTTATCAGAAGCTAGTTATTTTACCATGATTATGCAAAGTTATTGAAAATGTTTTTGAATTTTATTGATTTTATGTTTATAAATTCAATGTTTTTATGTTATTTTGGAGTGCTTCAAAAGTACTTATTTTTTATTGAAAAATTTGGCTATACACCCTGAGATTGTAGCATGAATTTTGAAAAAGCTGCAAAATTATGGAAAGAGAATCATACAAATTAAGTTTAATATATTTTATTAAAGTGTTGTTTTTAGAAACATTGGTTTAATTTATATGCAAAGTAAAAACTTAAGAAATGCCGAAATTTTTTACTCAATTAAATAACAATGGGCAGCAAATTTTTAATTGGCATTTATAAAAAATACTTCATTCTGCCTAATTCGGATTTCATATCTGAAATTAAATTTGTTCCAATTTTTTTTTTATGAAGATATTTTTTGTCAAAATGTACAGGGCACAAAAAAAGGCCACCCTTAATATCTTTTGAGTCAATTATTGGATTTTCATGTTCTAGTACTCAATCTTAATAGTTTGAGAGGATAACTTCATATATGCTAATTATTTAGTGTTATTTATATGATATTTTAAATTACAAAATCAGACACAGAAACATACTTTCTCTAAATAAACTTACCTTTCTTTGAATGGATTCAAATTTCTGACCCTTCAAATATATGGGGTAGACGCAATCTGGAAAATATGGTCAAAAGTTTAAACCCCTAATGTTAATTTTACTTTTTGCATATTTCGTCATACCAGGAAAATTTTTTAAGAGTATTAAAAATTTCAGCTCACTATTATAAAATTCATTTATCTCAAGATAATTCCAAGCAAAAAGTAAATTTTAGTTATTTATTATTTAACAATAGTATAAAATTTTTTTGAATTGTAAGGTATATAATTTTTATATAAGTTTAAAGTATTTAATTTTGCATGGCAAAATACAAAATTTGAGCGAAATCGGTTGAATAGTTCCTGAGTACATAAAATTTAAAAAAAGTTTTTTTATTTAGAATTCGATTTCTGGGAAATAAATTAAAATTTGATATATAACTGGGGAATTAGGGAATGTCATTAGGATTAAAATTGCATAGGAACCCATGCCCGGAAATGTACATAGCTAGGGGCACTTCTCTATTATGACCTGTACAAAAGAGCACAAAGAAACAGTTCATAATAAGGAAGCACTCCAAGTTCCATGGATCCCTATGGAATTTTAATCCTGATGATTTGTCAAACCAATCGCAGAATCAATGACGTTAAAATATCCAAGATGTGTTAAAAAATCTCAGGGAACAATAAAAAAATATTGTTCCCCGTGTAATCCATTAGCAATTTTAGGGTGTTTACTTTGCAGAATTAAAATGCTAGTTAGAATATAATATGCTATAAATTATTTCTGTTCACTCAACTGTTTAAAATTTCACTTTTGAAAAATTAATGGAGGGAAATTGTTCTGGAAAAATATTTTTTTCTCTGATAACACTTATAGGAAATAGTGTAAGATAATATCATAAATGCATTACACTATTTTAGGAAGAAGATTCTAATTGCTATGATGTAGAAATAGATTTGGATGAGCTTCTGGATATTGAAGGGGATTTCAACAGAAAAGCATGGTTAGGGGTAAGAAGTTTTGCCTTAAAAATTTAAGTAGCTATTGTTTGAAAGTACTTAAAATCTAAGCATATTTTAATTAGTTAAATCTGATTAATTGGTTAAGATTATATTTTAAAAAAAAATTAGATGAAAATAAAATTTTTCGTACGCCATGTTTAATTGTTAGGTTTTTGTAGTAAAAGTGATTCTTAGTAGATATAAACTTTATATTTGCTAAATACTATTTTGACGCTCGGTGGCTGAGCGGTAGCGCTTCGCGCCACAGGTCCCTGGTTCGATCCTCGGGCCGGGCAAGGTTGACTCAGCCTTTCATCCCTTCAGTGGGTCGATAAATGAGTACCAAGCATGCTTGGGAACTAAACACTGGGCGGAACATCTGTTCCTGCATCCCAGACCCCAAGGTCAAGAAAACTGAGATGGGCACAGTGGGCCATGGCCCTCTATGGGCTGTCGCGCTGCTGAGTTTAGTTTAGTTTAAATACCATTTTCTTATTTATAAAATATAGAAATTTATATATTTTATTTATAGGAAATATTTATAAAAAGGAATATATATTTCCCATTTATAATATACATAGGAAAAAAATACATAAAAGTTTATTAAATATATATCGAGTTTAAAATATAAAAGTTTGATACAAGTTTTAAATATAAATATTAAGAGAAGCAATACACTTTTATTTTAATAACAAATATTTTTATAAAACCACTGATGAAAGCAATTTACAATTGGTTTAAATATTCCTTAAATTCTAGCCATATGGTTAATATATGAACATTTTTTCTTCTTCCTGAAAATTCTGAATAGTCAGAACGATGTAAGTTAAACTTGAATAATTTACAGAAGTAAATTTATGCATGCTAAGAAATAATCATCGTTTAAAGTTGAGCATTTTAAAATAGAATTTTTTTTTTTTAAGTAATAGTAATGGGATGAATACCTAACTAAAATTTATTAGGATAACTATTTTATATTGAAATGATATTTAAATTATCTTTAACTATATTTTTTAATGGCACCACAAGAATTGACAGATTAAGATTTATAATCTTTAACTTCATTTAGTGTGTGAATGATTGAAGATAAATAACAATAATTGGGTTTAATTATCTTTTATGCAGTGAACTTTGATTCTTATAATTTATTAACATTTTATAATTTATTGATTTTGCAGGGAAAAGTCATTGGAGCAAAAAAGTCACAAGAAAATGTGGAGGTAGTATCTTATTTTAATTTATTTCTTTTTAAGCGAATTTACACAACATTTAATTAAATGAAATATTTTAACATATTTTATACTTTTTGTGTAACATAATATGTTGCATTAGAAAATAAATGAAAGAGGAAAACAAAAGCCAACTTTTGTTTTCCTCAATCAAGTCTGGCAAGACTTAAAATTGGGTGCCTAGTTTTGATTGCTTGAAATACATTTTGAAACTTGATATTTTGTTGAATTAGAAAATGAGTTAATGAGGAAGACAAAAATCTTTGTTTTTCTTATTCACGCCTGGCAAGTCTTGAAAATGGTCACAAATGTTTGAGCTGTTGAAACATGTAGACTTTTATAACTACTTATTATTTTTTTTTTGAAGCTAATGAAGTTTTTAATCACATATAAGCTTTCTACTGTTTATCTTATGAGAGACAGACTATATTTTTATAATATTAATTATATTCAAATTGGCTTATCAATATTTTTGCTATGATTTTGTGTATAGTTTATTTCAGTCAATGGATATTAATTATCAATACCACTAGTTCATTACATTTTGATTAAATTAAGTAATTAATCATCCAATATGCAACTAATTAGAAATTCAACTTTTTGTGTCTTTTTTTTCTTTACATTACCTAACTTAATAACTACAAGCATATTTCTAAATGATAAATATATTTTTTTTCACATTTCTATATTTTTTTACACAATGAGTATAAAATACTGTTATTATTTGAAAGCTTTATTTTATTTTTATAAATTACTTATAAACACATTAATATTCCATATATGATAATATTAAAATACATAGCTTACAAGTTATATAACTTAAGTTTAAAATTAATCTTCCTGGCTTACAATTTATAGTAACTATAATTTAAACATTAATGTTAATATTCAAGTCTAGGTACATTAAGTGTGTCTGAGACCATATTTTTCAAATTTGCTTTCAATGATATGAGAAAAAAAGCTAAACAATTATTACAGCTTATTATAATTATTTAGTGCTTAAGTTAAAAATTATTAAAAATTTATACTATGAATTAGATGTAAAAACTTTGACTTCACTTATAAGTTATTATGAAAATGTTATATTATTCTTGACATTTTAAAATAAAATATATTTAAAAAATGTTATACAAACGTCTGAATGATTTTCCAATTAATACAATATCATAAAAATTAAGAGTCTCTTCTTTTTAATTGTATGTTAGATTTTTAATGAACTCATGATACTTAACAAACATTATCTTTTTTTAATTGCAGAAGTTCATTTGTGAATTACTTCAACGAGCAAAAACTTTGTAAGATGCTGGAATTAAGTAACTGTAATTCTGCTTTCCGATTTCCATACAAACTCCATATCATACATTATGCGAATGAAATGCTTCATCCATGTTTCTGTCATCAAAGAATTATTTAATCATGTCCATACAATTAAACTTATGCACCATCTTTTTTATGCATTTGATGTATTTAAAAAAAATTTTTAGCATCTATTTAATAATAAAAACTTAGTTTACCAACTATTAGAAATGTATTAATAAGGGTGATAGGATATTATGAAAATGTCTTCATTTATGTGTTTTATGTTATAAGATATTTATTTATAATTTCACAATCTTTGTACATGACATTTTAAATGTTATCATGCAATAAAATAAGTCTTTCATCAATAGTTTTATCCATGGTATTCATTATTAATTTTAAAATGAACAGTGATAAAAAGATTAATAAATTAATAATGATAACTGCAAGCAAAAAGAATAGGGTAAAAAATTTAGTAAAGTCAGTTTATTTTTCAAACGATTAAAAAATTGTCTACATTAAGTATTTTTAACATAAGATAAGTTGTTTCAAAGGACTAAAATTTCTTAAAATAGGTGTTGTATTTCTCCCAATCACCAAATATAGGAGTGCCTGGTGATTTAGGTATGAGACCTGCAATGAGAAAAGTTTAAAACAATAATTTAAAAAAGGATCTAAAATTAATGCATTGATAAATTAAAAAAAAAACAGCAAACTAATGACGCATTTATAATTATCTTAACAATATTTTTGTGGTAAAATATCCAGCCTGTGGTCATTTAAAAACATGGTTTTAAATATATGTATTGATAAATGAAGTGAAATTAGCATACTAATGAATTATGAAGCATTGTCTTAAATATTTTTGTGGCAAAATGTCTTATCCAGTGATAGATTAAAAACATGGTTTAAAATTCATGTATTGATGAATTGAGTGAAATTAGTAAACTAATGAAGCAATCAAAATTGTTTAAGTGGAAGATATCCAAAAATACATTTTTACCAGATCATAACTATATGCAAATTATCAGAATTGTTCAGATATATCAATTATATTTGGAATGCATTCAGTTACATTTATATTTATCAAAACAAAATTCAATTTACATTTTTTATAAACTTTTTCTTTTACACTTTTTATAAATTTGTTAAAATTTTTTTTGTCAAAGCATAACTAAGCAGATTAGTTTAAATTGAGTAAATTTGTTGACAACAATTTTACAAACAAAACAAAATTTCTTATTTGATTATTGTGCAATTATATATATTTTTTATTGCCAGTTATTCATTTCAAAATTTGAAAAATATTTAGCAGCATGCATTATTATCAGCAGCGTTTGTAGCTAACAAAAATTTGCGGCCAATGGTAGCCTATTCATTAAATTAGAGGGGCGGGGAGATATAAGCCTGTTATTTATTATTAGTATGCATTTTTCTAAAAAGTGTCAGCATTATTTTTTAAAAATTTTCAAGGAACGCCTCAATTTTGTATTTGTTTTGGAAAATAAAATGCCTGAAGTATAATGTTAAGTTTTTAACAATACCATGTCAAATTATTAACATTTGCAATTCCAGAATTAACATAAAAAAATACTAAAGAGAAAAAGAACTCTGATTGTTTTATTTAAAAAATGATAAATTTTTTCAAACTTTTGGGACTTACTTAATTACCGACTTACTATTGAGAGTTTTCTTCTGAACATAGCAAAACAATATTTCTGACCTCAAATTGAAAATTAAAAAGGTTAGGTTATGTTAGCAACTAATCACTTGGTATATGCTGTGATTAATAAAACAAGAAAAGAATATGGAAATAATTTATGCTGAAAAAATTATTCTAAATATATTGCAATTTTAAAACCATCACTGAAAAAGTGATAGTGGGCACTAATGGGTTAAAAAAGCTTGATATAAATAAATAGGACATTTCAATTTAAGAGAGCCATTTTGAATAATGAATTAAAGCATAGACTGAGTGCAACAAGGCAAAATTTACTGTCACTACTGCCACCATATGTAAATAGTAGTGATTAAAATATTGTTTTCCAGTCACCACTTTTTTTTTCCGAAAATGCTCCCTTGTGCGTTTTATTGCTATTGTGTTAATAAATATAAAATTATTATGAATATTTTTGAATATTCTTAAAATTTCTTTATTTCCATCTTGTTTCTTAAAATTTTGCTTTATTTTAGAAACCAACTTTATAATATTTACTACTTTAGAAATGCTCCAAAAGATATATTTTACATTATTAATATCAACAGATTTTCAATCATTTTAAGTTTTAAATTTTTCAAAAAGTGGCCACTTTAAAAATGTTATAACTGGCTGCTGAACAGTAACAAAATTTCGAATTTTAAGTGGTTTTTTCTTTATTAATGTTATGCTATGGGAAAATAATGGGTAGTGGGAAAGCCATATTCAGTAAAAAGAAAATTTAACTAACAAGGACACCCCTCTCAGGATGACCAATTCATTACCAAGAGTGAACACTTGAGAGTCATATCACTGTTTTTCAGAATAACAACACAAAAGAAATTTTGGTCTGCTATGCAAGAAAGCATGTAACTCAAAACTATGGTTTTCCACATGCAGGACAGCCAAAGAGTAAATTTAATTGAATTTAATCAATGAAATCAAGCTATTTTCCAGCAAATCAAAATGGTACTTCAAGATGTAATTCAATAGAATAACAGGGCTCAATAAGGGCATTATGCTCAAATTTGACAATACCAAAATACACTTTAAAAATTCTAGTAGGTATTGCACGATAATAAAATTCTATATTCAAGTCACAAATGAATTAGGTAAATAATTTGAGTTTCAAAAAACATTCTGAAGCAAATTATATCTTAAATTTAACCCTAACCAAAGGCTTTCTGCACATGCTTCATGGAATAAATTAAAAACATTTGCTGAATATAAAATTATTAATAAATATTGGAAAAACTTTAATCAAAACTTATGAGAACTAACATTTTATATCTTACTAAGAGAACAAAATGCTAACAATGCTCTTCTCCCTTTTGTTATTTTTTAAAATTTTCCCCTTAGCAATTCCAGTTGGTATATTTATAAACTTTCAATATAATTTTTAAAAACACTTAATACAATAAAACAATTTTTAAAAATATGTAACAAATACAGTGAAAAGTCAGATTATTGTCATCTCTTATTACGAACATCTTTTAATTCGTTGTGATTCTTCTATGAATAAACCAATATGTACCCTCTCTGCAAAGCAGACACTCCCATCACTGGAACCAGATAGTCATTTATGCCCTGAAGCTTTATTTTTAATCTCTTAAGACTGGACACCACTTTCTCTAAAACTCTGTTTGGAAAAAGCTATTCCTACTTAAAACTTCAAATAAATTAATAAAAAAATATATGTACCTTTTCACCATTTTTACAGCTTTTAAATTTTTTGCCTTATCTATAACTAATTGCCAGAACTAAAAATATTGTTAAGCTATTTCACTACTAAAGAATAAATTATTATTCTCTGATCTTCCTTTATTTTTGTAAGAAAGGAAAGAAGATGATGCCGCTCATGTGAAATATTTCAGACAGCAACATCTTTTTTGGCTTTTAATCTGGATGACACAGTTTCTGAGACACAACAAGTTAAAATGGTGCATTTAATGTTCTCGATTTTACTTCCTCACTAAAAGTTCCTTTCTTATTCTAATCAATTTGTCCCTCGTGCTTAATACAGCTGAGTTAAAAAAAAAGGAACAGAAATCTAATCATTGAGGTGAAGAATATGAATAAATTAAACATTAATTCAGATTCTTGGCAAATGATCCATTGTGAGTACCAGGGCTCGAAAAAACTCAGAAATTTTACCCGTCCCTGAGGACGGCTTGCCCAACTATATACCCGCCCTCTTTTGAAACTAACCCGTAGCTTCTAAATAAATAAAATATAATTTTCTCTTATTTATTATATATGAATTGCATAATGAATTAGTAGTTACTAGGATTACATTATACAGTAATAAAAGAAATACTAGTATACTAATAGTAACCTAGTATTTCTTTTATGAAGTAATTTATTTCTTTTATGATAATTATAATTTATTTTTAAAATTAATTTAAATGACGAAGGTCAAGTTATCTGGAATGTCAATTTATCCGAGGGTACTAAGTTTTTTAAATTAATTAAATAATATGACGTTTGCCAGTTCCACAATCAAGCCAATGATTTACAAAGGTTTCTGCACAGAAATCTGAATGAGGTTTTCCATTTAGGTAGATGTTCATAGTTGCGTTTAACGCTTCTTGTTTAAGACCAGTACGTACTGTTTTTTTTTTGTAAGTTCATTGCTGAAAAGCCCCTTGTAAGATAACCAAAATTGAAAATGTATCATGAACATTAACGGGAAAATGGCCGTCCGCTCAGACGTCGGACTTGCGAAATTTATTGTCCGCGGCGAATTTTTGACCACCGAGGACGGGCAGACGGGCTGTTTTTCGAGCCCTGGTGAGTACAGTAACTCTATAAGACTTGGTGCTTTACAGATACATTCTTTTTATTTTTCTATGCATCACCAGAGATTTACCCTCAGGGAGGTATTGCTGCATGAATGTGTCATAAATGATGATTCTAGAAACATTGATTGTCAAAAAAATGATTTAAATGTGAATTAAAATTGTTGAAATAGTTGCAAATAATGATGTCAAGAGTCATAATGAAGAAACTGATACTTAATGGATGCTTTTTGAAAAAGAACCAAAAGTGAAAATTTTATGTGATGCTCAAACTTGAATTGAAGAACAATGATATTTTTTATCATCTAAAAATTGTGAAATTGGTGCGAAAATGATAAATAATTTTAAAATGTGCTACGAAGATATAGTAAGTCACAGCTATTTAAAACAAATTTATATTACATCTTTCTTTTCAACAAATATAAAAAAGGCATGTAATATATATACAGTGAAACCTCCTGTTACAGACACACCTGCGAAACAGACTCCTCTCAATACACACATATTTTTCATTTATTTTATCAATCCATGAATCTTCTATGAATAAACCATTATGTACATTCTCTACAAAGCAGACACTCATCTTTGCCCTGAAATGTTATTTTTTATCTCTTCAAACCAGACACTATTTTTCCTAAATTAAAGAAGAAAAAAAAACTGTTTCTGCTTTAAATTGCGAAAAAATAAAAAATCAACTTTTCACCATTATTAAATTTTTTATAGTGCATGTAAATTTTTTGTCTTATCCATAACTAAAAATACTTTTAAGCTATTTAACTACTAAAGAACCAATCTTTCTCCTGTCATCTTGCCTTATCTTTACAAAAAAAGGAGAGAAAATGAAACTCCTATTCGATATCATATGACTAACTTGAATATTTGTGTTAATAGGAGAATTATATTCATTTATCTGTAGCTACATCTAGAATAAAGTATTTATATTAAACTTTTTCATATATTCTTTTTGTACAAAAAAAAAATATTTTTGAAAGTTTAAATAAGTGTCCTTGTGGATAGTTATTGTAAATGAATTATTTCTATATCATTGAAAATATTCAAAAAATATCAGGGTACCCTTACCAGAAACGGGAAATTTTTTCGGTCCGATGAGTATCCATTTAACTGAATTGAGGTTTCACCGTATATACATTAAATTTCTTCATCTATTTTTTATGCACTGTAAATCGTTATTATAAATTCTATTTTGTTGTAATCATTCTGAAAACAAACCTTCATAATTAGTGTACCCTTCCTGCAAATCGATAATTTTTTTAGTTCCAAGAGTGCCCTCTCAACTGAGATTTCACTTCAAAATAATTATTTCTATCAAGATTTTTTTTACTCCTAGAAATTAGATAGAAAGAAGAAAGTCATACATACCAGCCCTTTGAGCTAAAGCAACTGCTCTTCTAACACGAAAATGTTGCTTGTTACATAAACCTGTTATATGCTGGGGTATCAAAGTACCATCAGAGTTAATAAACTGACTTATAATTAAAATATCCTACAAAAGAAAACAATACTTTGAGAATACTAATTATAATATATTTTAAATGTATTCTAAATTCACTGTGCGCCAGTCCATAAGAAATTTCCAAGGATTGGCATTTTCTTCTTAAATAAATAAAAAAACATTATAAAATAATCATAAAGTATATTCCAGAATGTTTAAAGATTTGTTTCTTATTAAACTTAACTATTTACATTTTCTTTGGTCAATAATTCATATTTCTATTAATTAATTTTTGTATTAAAGTGGAACTCTTTATATGAAGATTACAAATTGTACCTATATTACTGCAAAGAGACATTGGCATGTCCATTCCAGTGGTTTGTCTATGGTTCACAAGATTGATATTATAATCTTTATTCTTCAAATATAATTTAAAAATTGATACCAAATATTTATTTACTAGCTGCCATACAACTTTTTTTTAGGAATTAAATGATGATTGTATAAAATTTTCTTTGTAATTAAAGAATTTGAAGTCTGGTTTACGCAAAGCATAATAAACTAAAGTTAACACCCTCAGTAGAAGAAGAAACTTAGTTTGCAATATTATTTTTGCTTTTTATTGCAATGAATTTTTATATTTATAATATTGCTTTAAAAAACTACAGTCTCTTACATAATTATTAAAATTTGCACTTAACACATGCTTGTATGCTAAAGGTTAAACACCATAGACATAAATTACTTTATTTCAATGTTATGGTATATATTGTTGCTTATTTGAAATTTTTTAAAATTAATTTTTGAATATTTTAATCAAGTTTTTTTATAAATCATAGTTTATTATTACTCTAATTATCTTTGATTAAAAATTTTTTTGCAAAAACAACTATACTTTTACCATAGTAGAGGAGAAAAAAAAAAGGTTTATTTTTTTCTATGTAATTATTTTGCTAAAAAAATTCTACAATTCTTTAACTAATTGCTTACAATAAACAATTTAGAAAATTTTAAAAATTTCAAATATATTGGTTAGTAATAGGTAGCAAACTATGCATGTAGCCGACTTTACTAATAAATTGATATTGAACTTTAATAAAAATATTAATTAATAAGAAACAAATGGGAATAAAATTACGCACTTAATAATTATTAACAATACGAGAATAACGATCATACATTTCTATGTAGAGTTTAGAAATTTTTGGAGCATATTTTAAAGTAAAAGGTGGTTTTTACATAAATCCCACCTTCTGAGTTAAGAAATGTGCACCAGTAATAATAACACAAAGTCATAGATATAATTATTAACATAATGAGAGAACAAGTAATGAACAAGTTTAAACCTACAACTGTGTCTCAAGTTCATTTAATTTATTCACTGAAGATTCAAAGATTTAGTATTTAGTAGGCACTAACTTATTTACTGTTCAAATATATAAAAATAAGCTCAAAGAGCAACATCCAAACACACGAAATTAGAAAAATGAATTAAAAAAAAAAAAGCAAAAACAAAAGTAAGTTAATAAGAGATAATATTAAGCACTAAAGCTGCTATATATAAAGCTAACTTATATATACATTTATAAACAAATATATAAACTGAAGGTTGCAGGTTGTGCAATAATTTGTGTTCCATAGAAATCGGAAGTTGAAAACATTAAAGAATTTTATTGAACCTATAAAAAAAAAATTACTCTAATCAACTTGTAATAATACACTAATATTACGTTTAGCACGATAGAGTAGTTTCGGAGAGCGTTTGGGGGACCCCAACGAAATTATATATATTACTTGGTTAATGAACTATTGTTCGGTAAGTAAGTAGGATATAGATATAAAAAGTTTCTAATATATATATTAGAAGGAGATAACCGATAACCTTCCACGAACATACATGAGAACTACGCCACTGTTTTAGAAGGCACATTTTTTAAAAATTCAGCTTTACATTCCTAGGAATAAATAAAGACAATTTATTTTTGCTTTGTCACATTAATAAATTTACAAGATTATAATAGATATTTAGCGACAAAAGTTCGTTTGAATCAATTCAATTTACATTAAAGATCAAAATAACAAAAAATGCAAGAATTTTCTGCGACATAATACAATTACCATAGAAAACAGACAACAAAAAATAAAAATAAATTATAAACTTACTGAATGTTTAAGGTTCTTAAGACCAAGTTTACATAATGGACAGCCACCACGATTCAAATTCAAAAGTTTTCCTTCTCTTTCTGATTTTACTTTCACACCCTCAATGACAATTTGATTTTCAGTTTCAGTTCTAACAACTACAATAGAAAAATAAGTGATTCAATAATTTTTATTAATTTAGTGGTAGTACTAAAGTTTTAAGGTCCTCCTACATAATAAGGAAAAGTTTCTGATTGGTATGTATTAGAGATACAAAGAAGGGCAGTATACAAAGTACTATCAACTGTATGAGAGAAATTAGGTATGAAACATGAGTGTCAGTATGACAGCAGCACATCAAGAGCAAGAGAAAGTTTATCTTATAAATTAAAATATCATTAAAAATTGAATAGTATTAAATATATTAAAAACTTAAATGTTCAGGTAAAACTATTGGGTCAAAATAAAAATTACTTTATACAGTTTCTTGAAATATTGAAATTTACTAATTTGTCATAGATGCATTTCCTATTTCTTTTAAAAACATATCACTGATTGAATTACATCTCCACACTTGGGACACATTGATCAATGTTAAAATTTTTTATAGTGAAATACAGTCTTTGTGAAATGACACCTTCATAACAACTCATTAAATGATAGGACTTGTTAGATCAATAATTGGATTAAGAGAAACAGTAAAGTCTAAATACTAGAAGAATTTCTATAATTGTAATTCATAGAAATTTGATACAATATTTTATTTCCAGTAATCACAATTGTTTACAGATAGTTCAGTTACTACAAATCCATACTGTTTAATTTTCAATTTGCTTTATTTAAATATTGAAATTTCGATAGGTATAAGATATTCCTCTCTAATCCATTCTTAATTTATTTCTAGAGAATGTTTTTTATTAATTAACTCAAATTAAAAATATTACATAATTATTTTTAATTTGAAACAGTTCAGAAATCACTCATGGCTTTGCCTTATACAATGACTATTTTAGTACCTTGGATGACACCATAAAACATTCTTAACGGTACTCACTTTATACTCTATCATGACAAACATGTTACGAAACAACTGTAAAAAATAAATGAGTCGTGTATTTATATCACTTTACTAAAGCATAATATAATTTTTAAGCTAACAGAATGAACATTTTCTAGACTAATCTTTTAATGACACTTTTCAGTTACCCAAGCACAAATCCCATCAGCTATTTATTATTAGTTTTTTATGATCTTTGAGGACTATTTCACCATCTTAAGAACCCCGTGGGGTCACGTCCAAGAGGTAGACTAACTAGATGGCTCAACCATATCGAAAATAACCTGAAAACACTAAAGATTAGAAATTGGAAGGGAGTTTCCATGGATAGGAGGAGGTGGCGTTTGTCAGCTGTTGAGGCAGCCAAGGTATACAAGGGGAGGGACAATATTTTATTTTTATTAAAGTGCAGTTTGGGTTGAAGACAAGTATTGGAACATAAAAATTAAAATATGATTTTATTTCGGCAAGAATCACACAGCACTATAGAGGAATATTTCTGTGATGGTATTTGCTTATGCCATGCCAGCTATAGATTAGAAAGGAGTAGACAATGTTTTTTCTAAGCATATTTAGAAGGGTTGCCCATCCTGCCTGCCCTTTGATCCAATAAATGTGACCTCTTTGACAGTTTTGTAAAAATAAGCTGCCATCCCTTAAAAACACTACCATTTTTTATTCATATTCCATTTAAATAAAATTAATTCACTGTTTAAATAATAATAACACACTGGTAAAATTATCTGTGTATATAGGTCTAATTTTGATTATTATTACAAATATTTACCTTGTTAGGATTATTCTCAACTGTTTAATTTTTATAAATTTTTCGTTTTTTGGGAGAAGTACATTTCGCGATCGTAACACTCGAACACGCCATCTGGGGAGAGACCGGTTTCATGCCTTTAGCGCTTCTCCCTTCCCTCCTCTTTTCAGTTGTATAGGAATGTACTACAATATTTTCCCTTTTCTTAATATTTTTCCTTTTTATTTAATAAAAATATTTTTTAAAATTTCCATGATACTTTTCTTTAGAACTATGTTTAATGTAGTTTTCAGTTCCATATAGTTTTTCAAGTTAATTACCATAGAAAACATACTCTCTATGACTTTGCACACGCTAATGGGGAAAGCATGTGAAGTGTTGCCATAGGAAAAGAGTTCTGCTCTACGCCACCTGCAGCCCATTTCGATCGCCATTAATGGAAGTGATTTGAAATGTTAATATTTTTTAAATAAATGCCTTTTTTTGAAAAAAGGCACCATTAAATGTTCATTTTATTATAATTTTCAAGTTAAATAATAGAAAAAGCTTTCAAGCTGCTTATCAATGAATATATTTTTTTTTTGAAGTTCACCTTTTTTTAAAAAATAAAATTATGCACAGAAATTGTTTTTTAGTATAGCTTTAATTAGTTTTTATAAACTACAAATTTTTCTCTTAATTTTGATAAAGAGTGAGAATTACTTATTGAAATATACACATAAAATAGTACAAGAGAGTAATTTAAAATTGTAATACACATAGATAATATTATACATTTTGATAAATTTTAATGGTATTAGATGAGTGCCCTTTCAAAACTCAAAGTGCCTCTATCTGTGGAGAAGCACCCTGCCCTTCTCTATTCCCAGGGAGAGCTCTGGAGTAGGCTTAACGTTGAGAAAGTGAAGCCATATAGTGTAGCTTGGTGAAAGGGTCAAATGCTTTACCACTATCATAATTATTAATAATTGAGAAAGAATTAAAAAGAAATTAACAGAAAAATGAAGTTTTTAACACCTTATATACCTAAACATTGTGAATATATGCTCAAAAAATTATTTTTCTTCTTTACTTCAACAACAGATTGATAACGATACAGTTGACTACCATTTACTATATTTCATTGGAACAAACCTTCAAATATAAAATGCACACTGAATTATTAAAAATTTTCACTTTTAAATAATGAACTCGACAATTTTTACTAAAACGATTCCTCCTAAAGAGTAGTAAATTCGTATTTTGAGTTTCTTTTATATTTTGATCTGAATATATAGTAAATACAACAAGCATTACATCGCTACCTTAACGTAACTTTTACAGTTGTTCAAGATACCTTTTGCATTTATTTCTTTTTGTTTTCAAACCAAGACACACAATCTTTATGTGTTTAACAAACATATTATAAATTAATTTCGATACACTTTTTTTCATAAAACTGTGATGTCAACTGATTTTGTGTAATTATCTGTAAATCTAAATCGAAAATTCAATTTAATTTCAAGTATCTATGACTTTTTAATAATATTTTGAATTCACAAAGTAACATTTCTCGGTAAGAATACAGTACATACTTTCTTTTAAACGATTCACAGAAGATATAGAAAAGGGACGAGTATATTGTTGAAGCAGTGAATACTTCATTAATTTCTTAGAGTCTCTAACAAATTGAATTAATAATTTTAATCCCATCTTAAGTTAGTTTTTAATGGCAATGAAAAATAATATCACAATACGAAATTACATATTTTTGTTGGAATTCATTTATTTACGATTTCTATGTTTACGATACTGCGTTTCTGGTTGCTTATTTCTTTTTCGGTTATTTCTTGCTCATACTAAAGTATCATTCTCACTGATAACAATTTTTTCCGCATTTGCCAACGCTCGAATGCGTCATCTGGGGAGTAGACTGGTTCCATGTTTAACCTCTCCTATCCTTCTCATCTTCTCAGTTGTATAGGGATGTACTACGATATTTTCCCCCTTCTTATTGTTTTTCTTATTTAATTGTCATATATTTTTTTTAAAATTTCCACGACGTTTTCTTTTAGAACTATGTTCAATGTGCCTCGTAGTTTCCTAAGTTAAAAGTTTTTAATCGATTTGAAAATCAAGGCAGAAACTAATAACCTTCTTTCTTGACTTGATTTTCAAATGAGTTAAAAACTTTTAAGTTCAGATACTATATGGAAATAGAAACTACATTAAACATGGTTTTAAAAGAAAACGTGGTGGAAATTTAAAAAAATATTTTTGACAAGTAAATAAGAAAAATATTGAGAAGGAGCATGCAGTACATTCCTATAAAACTGAAAAGAGGAGAAAAAGGGAAGGGTCAAGACATGGAATTGGTCGTTTTCCCCAAATGGCGGATTTGAGCGTTGCGATCGTAAATCAGTGGAGAGTTCTACTCTTTTGAAAACTAAAAAATTACAACCAGTGAGAAAGGCGAATGTGAATCTGATTGACCAGTTTTTTGCGGGTCTGTTATCCCGTAGCTTCTTATTAACAATCAAAAGATTATTTTTCTTAGGGAAGCTTAGCATTTATATTGCTTAAAATATTGAAAAGACAAGAGCAGTAAATTAAAAAGAAATTTTTTGGGAGAGGGATAAACAATGAATATTAACAAAGCTGGATAGTAATATTCGTGATCGCAACGCTCGAATACGCCATTGGAAGAAAAGACCGATTCCATGTCTTGATCCTCCTCCTTCCCTATTCTCTTCTTCTCAGTGATGTGAGAAAATACTACGCTATTTTCTCATCCCATAATATTTGCTCGTATTTAATTGTCAAAAATAATTTCTGAAATTTCCTCTACGCTTTCTTTTAGAATTATGTTTAATGTAGTTTACAGTTTCATATAGTTTCCTATTTTAAAATTAATCTATATGAAAATAAAGACAGAAACTATCGTACTTTTTTTCCTATGACTATTCACACGCTAATGGTTAAAACATGCGATGCGTTACCATATTTTAAGAGTACTGCTCTGCATTACCTGTAGCCCATTTCTATCGCTTACAGAGATTGAAAGAAACACACGCAGACAAGCTTTGTTTTAATCTGAATTATAAGCGATTTCATTAAAAAATCTACGCAATTTTACTCCCATTTTCCATAGAAATCCCTTTCAGAGATTCTCCAACATAATTATTTTTTTATGAATAATTGGAAAGGTAAAGAAGTGAGCTTTACGAATTTTCTTTGAGAAATTTTGCTATCAATGTCTTAGTTTTTTGAGGACGAAGGTCAGCTAAATTCAACTAGTTTCTGGACTGCATTTACGTTCAAAAAATACTACGCATTTTCTATGCAGATCTTAAGATCCTGTAAATTTAATGGAGGAGGAGATTGAGGTCGGATGTGTCTTTCCAACATATTTCAAACATTTTCTATTGAGGTAAAATCTAGATTTTTCTGTGGCCAGGAAAGGTGTTGGAATTTCGAACCAATTTCGTAGAATTGTGCTTTATTTTAAATTCTTTAAGTAAAGTCTGAAATAAAAAAGTTACACTTTTTCAAAAAAAAAATTCCAAAATGTTAGCAAAACCTATATGAATTTTTAAAATCTTACCACTTTCTGCTATTAAGAAATTCTGATTTATGAATCTTGAATAGAATACTAATAGTAATTTTTATAAATTGGTGAAAACATCGAATTCCCCTTTTATTATTCGTATAAATATAGAATAAGCATAGAAACTGAGGGATTAATATTATAATGTTTCACAAAACATAGAAATATGCTAATCAAATACTGATAATACTGTTACAAAAAAATAAAAAAATCAGGCATTTAATGCCTTTTTAGTCACCGTGACCAGGCCTCCAAGGTTCTTTCTCTCACCTTCGGTGTACAATTCAACATTACACGATACACTTGATCTGCCAATATGTCTAGGTATTGCATGGCAATGTGTCAACTCTCAAGAAACAATATAGAGCATCACATCCATACCAGCAAAATGAGTTTCACATCATGATACCTACACCAGACTCTAGCTTAGTGCGAATAAGTCAAGATAAGTTAATGGCTTTGTGGGGTTCTCGCCAACTTGAACGTCTTCTATTCAGGGCAAAACTAGGTGTTGCATGTTCCATCCATATCCATAAGAAGAAACACAATTTTAATTGCAAAGATGTCGGAAGCAGCCTTGCAATTAATTTCTGGTATTTCGGTCAGAAATGAGAACTTTTCTCACAGGCATCCGACTATACATGAAAATTAAGATGGGCCGATTTTTAGTTAAAGAAAATGAAATGGCCTTTGATGGGAAAAATTGTGTATTGGTTTCAAGTATTCGATACCAGTACACAACTTTTCCATACAAACTTACTATATAGTAAATGATAATAAATAAATAAATGATATAATTTATTTTTCTAGATTTTTATACGTGAAAATTTTTAACCGTCGGCAGGGGAAAAACCCTTAATTTGTAAACATAAATATCATTATATCACATTACATGTACCTGCTCATCCAAGCCTTTGAAATTTGACGAAGATTGACATTTTTGTCCTTTGAAGCAGAGTTTCATTTCAACATATCTTTAAAATTTAAAGTCATTTTTAAACTTTTTTTATTTTCTGTAATAAATCTACAGAATGTTTTATGATTGAACTTAATTATAAAGAATAAAGTATCCGACAACTATCATCGTGCTATCTGCGTCAAAGGGTTAAGGACGTTTTACTGTTTTCCTCTGTATTGAAATAATCCAGAATGCACCTCAAGTAGGAAGGAATGCGCCCAAATTTCACCCTAGCATCGGTCCAATCTTCAAACCAAGTATGGATACTTTTTTTTGTGATCTAACAATCTGCTTCAGTAAATTTAACAATAGAGGAAAGAGGGGTAAGAAAAAAATTTACAGAAAAGAGAAGATCTAGCACTTCAGAAGGAGAGTCCAGCTCTTTGAATACGAAATTGATTCTAAGAACTGCTAGTTACGGTGTGCTATATCAGAAAAACTACTTACAGGGTGAGCAATAAACTCAGATTTAGCAGTTTATCATATGCACTAAGATCCAACGAATGAGGCATAAGAAGCAAAGTGACCGTCCGTGAGGTACGTCACCGGTGAGCAGGTTGTTGGACAACTCTACATGTATGGTTGGGTACGCTGCCCTCCCGCACCGCAATTTTTTTAATTTTCTTATGGTGAAATGGGCTAGCAGATTTAATCAGCATGGATGATATAAATGTATTTTTAAAGAAATATCTTAATTAATAATACAGTACTGCTTATCAATAGCATAAAAATTCAGAACAAGCCAATAATTAATGCTGTTTTTCGCAGCTCTGTCTCTGTCTGGAAAATAAAAGAGCCACAGTTTAAGTGCCTAACATTTGAGGCAATGCGATGATTTTATATTATATATACATAATCTTGCCGTGATGAATCAACTGGGCTTTAGAACAGACAAATAGCTTAAATAATTTAAAAGTTATTCAACTTTTTTAAAAATCTCCAAATGGATGGTGTTTTCTACACTAGGGAACGCTGCAAGCTCGGTACCGCCTAAATTTCCGGTTTACTGTTTCCGTTGTATTTTAAAGCCATTTGGCATCATTGTGTTTTGAGATTCTTGCAAACAATGTATATGATTACTTATTACTTGTGTTTACAATGCTAACAATACTTGTGTTTACAATGCTAAAAGTGTTAACACTAACGTAAGATGGTGCACAGCTTGCAACAAGAACAAACAGTAATAAACTTATGGAAAGAGGCCATATCAAGACTGCCAAAAAAGCGAGTTATTCAAAATCTAGCAACCATGTCACCTTTTTTAACAATATATCTCTAAAAAACTAAAACAAATTTTCACTTCAAACTCACCAGAATTACATATTAACATTAATATCTTATGAAATATGGCAGATTTGAGCTCAGAAATTATCTAATTTATTTCTTTTATTGAAAACAAAATTATCCGTTTGAAAACATCGCCTATCAGAATAACATGTAGAAAGCAGCTGCAAACTTTTTAACCGGAACTAGAGTAGGTGCTCAACTCGAGATTGTTATTGTTTACATTTCTATTGAAAACACCATCCATTGGCGATATTTTTTTCTCCTAGATGAAAATTATCAAAATAACTGCCATATTCTCAGTTTTTGCAAATTTTTATGAGCCCTGGTAATGCTGCATTGGAGTAAGTTTTTAAATATTAAAAAAATTAAACCACAAACCGCAAACTGCGGCTTTTCTCCATATTGACGTTTTGCACCATTTTTAAAATAAGCATAGATAACACTGGCTTTAGATAGTCTAAACTTGATCTAACAGTCATGAGTAACAGCTGCAAACTCACAACAGTTGTAAAAATAACATATTATTCGCAAAAAAAAAACATCATTTCGTATTACGACGAAGCCTTCGAAAAACAGCCTTAATAAAAAAAGGAAAATTTTTACTTCTTCTTCCCAATCCCCAGTGGGAGGAGAGGAGGGTGCAAGCCCATTTCAAGAAAATCTGCTGTGCCCCTAAATGTTATTTTTTTCTTTATTCACAGGGACCACACCGAAACTGGTGGGACTGGTTTACGTTATGGCTATGGAAAGTAGCCTTCTACCCCATTGTATATTGTTTAGTAAGACAGAGTACCACGATTATCCGAATTTAATTCTGTTCCTCAGTGAGCTGACTCTGAATTACATTCGACTAAGTAAGACGAAGAAGCTGCCCTATTGCGAAATGTTGCTATTGTTAAATTCATGGAGTCGGTCTAGATAAGTTAAATTTACTATATCAATTCTTAAATGTTCTTTTG